CATACATGGAATTCAACAGGTGTAATATGTAGGCCTTGGATTTACTTCATAAAGGAAATGGAAAGAGATGGTGGAAAAGCTTAACATTATGAATCAAAACAAGACCAACAGCTAATTATAGAATTGAATATTGCTAGTTGTTGTTAGGTACCATCAAACTAAGTAGAACCCATAGCGATCCTGTGAACAACAGATCTGAAATATGCCCTATCCTGTGCCATCCTCACACTTCCCCGTACATTAGAGCCCATTACAGAAGTAACCATATCAATCCATCTGGTCAAGGGTCTTTCTCTCTTTGCCCACCCTCTACCTTTTTGAAGCATCATGTCCATCTCCAAGGAATAGCTCCTCCTAGCAACATGCTGAAAGTATGTGAGGTGAAGAATCATCATCTTCTATTCTAAAGCAATCTGCTTGCACCCTCTGCAAGACATATTTGTTTGTTCTTTTGGCAATCCATGGGAGGCTCAGTCCTCTTCTCCAACACCACAGCTCCAAGGCATCAATTCTTCTTCTGTCATCTTTATTCTTTCTCCAGCTCTCAAATGCATAGCAAAGTGGTTGGAAAGATCATGGCCTGAATCAGATGCACTTTACTCCTCAAACTGACATCACTGTTCCTCAATAATTTAAGAGGTCCTTAACTCAGAATTTCTCAGTATAATACATCTCCTGATTTCCTGACTTCTGGTACCAAAAGTGTTAATTGTGGATCCAAGTAAAACGAAGTTGTGGACGGTGTCATTCCCCCCCCCCCATCCATCATGATGTTGCCTATAGGTTCAGTGATAAGAATCTATGTTTTCTTGAAATTGAGATGCAATCCTTATTGAGAGCTGCATGCATTCTTGGATCTTCTACATCAAGTGCTTCAAGTTCTCCTGAATAAAGCAGGTTATTGATGAGTCTGCCTCTGATCTTGCTGCCACATTCCTCTTTATAGACTCCTGCTTCTCAAAAAATTTACTCAGCATACAAATGGAATAGGTATGGAGAGAGAGTGCAACTCTGACACCCTCCCTTGTTAAGCTGAAGTCATGTAGCATCCCCCTGTTCTGTTTGGACAACAGCCTTCTAGTTTAGGTGTAGGTTTTGCGTGATCACAATTAAATGATCTGGAATATCCACTCTTCTCAGTGTTAGTCATAACTTCTTTTGAGGCACACAGTCAAATGCCTTTTCACAGTCAATACAACATAAATAGACATTCTTCTGGTAGCTTTATTTTCAGCCAATAATCATCTGACGTCAGCAATAATATCTCTGGTGCTACAGCCTTTTCTAAATCCTGCTTGAACTTCTGATGGTTTTCTATCAATATACTGTTCTAGCTGTTTTTGAATGATCTTCAGTAGTATTCTGCTTGCATGTGATATTAATGATATCATTCAATAGTTTGTACATTCTGTTGAATCACCTTTCTTTGGAATGGGAGAGGGACTTGAATATTAATTGCTTGTAATTGCACATCACTCTTTGTCAATGTGCTATATGAGGTAACCTGGGCTTGCTGGGATGCTGAACTTTGTGCCATGGGGATATCAAATATCATGGTTTCCCATTGTGGACAGTGTTTGGTGGAGTTCCCAGTTGTAAAACAGGTTGGGAAGCAGGAGTAGCATCCACTTCCTAAACCACATGCCTCTGGAAACTCTATGAACTTGGAAAAGCAATGATAAACATGGAAAGACATTAGGTCTTTTATTCATAGAGTCACTATGAGTCAACCTTGACAGCAATCAACAACAACATGTCATTAGTGATAATATCACCCAGTTCGATAACTCATGGAGTCATCTTACATCTATGACTTCACAGAGTACCTTGGCTCAGACCACTCCCATTAGCAAAACAGAGACCCTCCTATATACCAATAATGCATATTATTCACTCCCTGTTGTGTTGCCAAGAAATGTTAATATATAATATGGATTCACCAAAAAAAAAAAAAACCAAGAAAATCTGTTTTGGAAGAAATGCAGCCAGAATGTTCCTTAGAAGCAAAAATTGTGAGACTTCATATTACATGCTGTGAGTACGTATCAGGAGAGGGTGTGGTCATGTACCTTGAAGTTGAGTATAACTCAAAGTCATCCTATGAAAAATAGACTTGAAACCTATTCCTGTGTTACCTTTATAATTTCTGATACAACTTGAACCCATTAGTGCAGACGTTATGCTAATCCATCTTGTTGGAAGGTCTTCCTTGTTTTATCTTACCCTCTACCTTTCAAAGCATGATGTCTTTTTCCAAGGAATAGCACCTTCTTGCAACATACCTGAAGTATGAGAGATGAAGCCTCAACATCTGTGCCTCCAAGAAACACTCTGGCTGCACTTTTTCCAAGACATATCAATGTGTCCTTTTGGCCATCTATGGGATATTCAGTATGCTTCTCCAACACCACAGCTCAAAGGCATCAGTCTTGTCTGTCCTCCTTATTCATTGGCTAGTTTTCAGATGCACAGCAAGTAATTAAAAAGAAGCTTGTTTTGGGGAAAACACATTATACTTGGAAAGGTGACAAATCAGAGGAGGAGAGAAAGATATTGAGTTTTGTTGACACAGTGACTGCAGCAATGATCTTGAACAGAAATAATGAGGATGGCGCAGGACAGGTCAAATTCTCAATCTGTTGTTCAAGGATTTCGGAGTCAGAGTTTATTCAGTGGCGCCTAAAAATAACCAACTTTTTTTCTTAACATTTTATGAACAAGAATCCTTTTTATTTCTCAAGATATTCGGTATAAACTAAAATAAGCAATGAAACCTATTCTTTTCATTCTTAGGAGACTGAATTTCATTATAATACTGAGAAGTCAGGAAAAAAATCACATCCTAAATGAATTTGGAATGATCAGAATAATAGAGATAATCGTTGTTTGTTATAAGAACAATTTTCTGCTAGAAATAATTGAGCCTTGGGGATTTGGTCCCTATGTAATGACACCACTATAAACTTCAGGCTTTTTATTTCTGTTCTGTCTCTGGAAAAGCACTCTTCTTTTCAGGTATGATTAGATACATGTTCCTCCTTTTTTAGATTTTTGAGACCTAGAAATATTTTGTTCAGTAAAAATAAAGTGATAATTCATTCAAACTATATTATACTACTATATGGTATTGCTTCTTTGTCATTATGTGCCATTGAGTCACTCTTGCTTCCAAGTAATATACATATTAATACATATTAATATACTCTGTTAATATATTTTGTCTAACCATAAAATTATAAGATGTAATTTAATCCCCCTAAAACTAAGGTTTAAACCTTTCACAAAAATAGAAAAAGCTTTCATAAAAATATGAAAAGTGTTCACAAAAATATGAAAACCTTAGAGAAGCCCAATATTAAGACTTTGGTGATATTTCAGTGATCGGATACATACTAAAATATATTGTTGTTTACTCTTCATTAAGAACTGACTCATGTCTGACCCTCCAACAAGCTTTCAGAGACCATGAATTACACTGGAGGGGGAGATCCACCTGTCTTGTGTGTAATAGTTGGTGGGTTCAATTGGATTAGTTGAATTAGTAGCACAGTTTACTACTAGGATACCAGAGATCTCTCTGTAGATAGATATAAGGTATATTAGAGTGGAGGAAATGGCTATGTATTGCCAGAGGACAGATCCGATTAAAACAATCATCAGGTTAGATAAGCAGTAAAATAGATCCTAGTTCATATTAGCTAAACAACATATCTTAATATCACTTTAAGTCACTACCTGTGATGCAGAGGACATTTAATGAAACTACCTTAAAAGGAAAAAGAGTGCTGAATATACCATGGACTGTCAAAAGAACAATGTCTGGGAGAAGTGCAACTGGACTCTCATGAGAGGCAAGGGCGGAGCAATGTCATCTCATGTACTTCGGTATTTTGTAAGGAGGGGTCATTTCTTGAAAAAGACTTCATACTTGGAAATGTGGAGGTTCAGCAAAAGAAAGGAAGACCCTCAATGAGATGGATTGACACAGTGACTGCAGCACGGAGCTCAAACATATCAGAGAAGAGGAGGATGGCACAGAATAGGGCAGGGTTCAGTTACACACACACACACACACACACACACAGAGAGACACACACGAACACATTGTTGTGTTAGGTGCAGTTAATTTGAGTACAACTCATAATGTTCCTGTAAATAACAAATCTGAGTCCTGTCCTATATGTTACTGTTGTGTGACAGCAAGTTGGAATCAACTTGTAGGTAACTCTCCTTCTAGCAAATTTTCAAAGCTGTCAATCGCGTAGAAGGAGACTGCTCATCGCATCTTTTTCCTCAACAGCAGCTGGGGGATTTGAACTACATGTTTTTTTTTATGTTGGCAGTACAACTTCTTATAACTCATGTATCAGAGCTTTCACATATAGATGTGTGTGCATGAATATGTTATTTTTTCAAGAAATATGTTACTTCATCTGTAAAATACATATATAAATGACATGCCTCCAGAAACTCTATGAACTTTGATAAATATCAACAGTTGTAGAGGGCCTTCAGGTCTCTTGTTCATAAGGTCACTATGAGTCATGCTTGACCCGGAGGCAATCAACAACAGCATATATGTATATAGGGGGAGTTCTGGTGGCACACTGGTAAGAATCTACATTGCAATCCTGAAGGTACACAGCTCGATTCCATCCGCTTCTCCATGGGAGAAGGATAGGTAATCTCCTCTCCTGTAATCACTGCCTCTGAAAACTTGCTATGGGTCAGTTCTGACTTGATAATACACACCAAAATGTGTACACATAAGATGTTATATATATATATTATACATAAATATTTTATTGATCAAATAATCACATGTCCAATAGCTTATTTCTGCATGATACATATGTGTACAACTGAGGCAAGGGGGAACAAAACAAACCTATCAGACCACTTGAGAGAAAAAAAAATCAGATGAGACAATGAATAAATTATGAAAGAAGAATAATTTTATTTCGTTTTCTTTAGATCTCACTATAAAACGAGGAAACACAATGTTAAAGAAAAACTACACGGAGGTGACAGAATTTATTCTCCTGGGCCTCACTGACCGAGCTGACTTGCAGCCTGTCCTGTTTGGAGTATTCTTACTGATCTATGTTATAACAATAATGGGCAATATGAGCATGATTTTTGTGATTAGAAGCGACTCAAAACTGCACACTCCGATGTACTTTTTCCTCAGTCATCTCTCCTTTCTAGATCTCTGTTATGCCACCAACGTCACGCCACAGATGCTTGTTAATTTCTTATCTAAGAGAAAAACAATTTCTTTCATTGGCTGCATGATACAATTTCATGTTTTCATTGACCTGGTGATCACAGAATATTACATGCTTACAACGATGGCTTATGACCGCTACACGGCCATCTGCAAACCCTTGTTATATAGTAGCAAAATGTCCAGTAGTATCTGCCTGTCTCTGGTCATTGCAACGTACGTTTATGGTTTTGCAAATGGTCTGGTACAGACCATACTGATGCTACGCCTGACCTTCTGTGGACCCAATGAGATCAACCACTTCTACTGTTCCGACCCGCCTCTCATGGTCCTGGCCTGCTCAGATACCTACATCAAAGAAACTGCCATGTTTGTGGTGGCTGGATTCAACCTCACCTGCTCTCTCACCATCATCCTCATCTCCTACATTTTCATCTTCGCCGCCATCCTACGCATACGCTCTGCCGAGGGGAGGAGCAAAGCCTTCTCCACCTGCGGGTCCCATCTCACGGCTGTGACTATATTTTATGTGACTCTTTTTTGCATGCATCTGAGACCACCTTCTGAATCATCTGTAGAGCAGGGGAAGATTGTAGCTGTTTTTTATATCTTCTTGAGTCCTATGTTAAACCCTTTGATTTATAGCCTCAGGAACAAAGATGTTAAAGCAGCTTTAAAGAAAGTGGTGCAACAGAAATTGTTTCTTAAATAAGACAGGCATTTTCTCACCCATGCATGCATTCAAGATTCTTTTCATATGAAAAAAAATGAACTGCATTTTTAAATTAGTAAATTCCTTTCTGGAAAGTCTCTTTGATATTTTTTATTTTATATATCAAATTTTAAAAAATACATAAAATAATTCAGTACACTTTAGAGTGCCCTGTCAGTCATGAAAAAGTAAATAAATACACACAACAACAAGCCCTGCTGAGAAGAAAACAGGAGGCATTATTATCACTTTATACAGTAAATAACTATATGATTGCAAACAATAATACTTGGGCAAAATACAAGAGACAATTAACACAAGCAACATAAAAAAAAGTAGTTCCTTCATTGTACCAACCAATAGATCAGAGGTTCTAACACACAGGATATCAATAAGAATCCGAAAGCATACGGAAACAACTGTTCTTGTTAGTTGTGTGTCAATAACGATGCATAACATTTTACAATGCTTAATAAAGTCCAACCAATGTAATGTCTAGCATGTTATGCCCTGAAACAAGAGACTGATGAAAGAAATTCGTCACCTGCTCCCCAGGAGAAAGCTGGATGGGCACTCCTGCAAAGATTTGCAGCCTAACAAACTCAATTGAAGGCTGCTGTGAGTCTGAACTGGCTCAGAGGCAGTACATTTATACAGGATACGTAAAAATAATCTTGTTTTTAAAAAAATAAATAATAATCTTGTTTCTAAGAATATCAGTTTAAGAAATACTTGGGGAAGTGGTGTCTCTGATTCAAGAATTTTTGTTTTTAAGAATTATAGTGAAAATTTCAAATT